TGGACAAATACCAATTGAATGAAACAATTAAAAAAAAGTTTCAAGTAGAAGCCTCTATAGATCGTTCCTATTTCTCCAAGTGTTTAAAAACAAAACAAAACAAAGGTGTAGGGTTGGGAGGAGAATAAAACAATAATTAAAGTCTCTCCTGATGATCAGTCAGGCCTGAATTAAGTGACCTTACAGGTCAAGTGTAAAATCTCGAAGTACAGAACAGAAACCACAAAACAAGTATTTACTGAGCACCTACTAAGTAGCAGGAACTGTTCTAGGATTAAAAAAAAAAAGTGAGCAGGAAGGATGAGATAAGACTATGAAAGAGAGAGTAGAGTAGACTTTACATGCAATTATTAGGTCATGCAGAGAAGGAAAAAATAAAAAGAGGAGAAGCAACAATTAAACAAATATTAGAAGAAAATATTCCTGAGCTGAGAGAAGGCTTGAGGCTTCAGATTGAAAGAGCTCACAAGAGGTCCAGGAAGTGAGGGGGGAGGGGTAGACTTATCAGACATCTGATAAAATTAAGGAACTCTAAGGATAAAAAGGAAAAAAAAACCCCTCATAGTTGACAAGCTTTTAGCTATAAAGAACGAGTTCCCCACAAAGGGGAAAAAAATCAAACTGGTTTTATTATAAAATCCTAGTCTGCAATAATAGAAGCTAGAAGACAATGGATGTAATAGTTACAGGCTAATGAAAGAAAAGGACTACAACCCAAGAATCCTACCCAGCAAAATTACCATTTCCTCTGCCAGAGGAAAAGATGATATTCAATAACTAAAGTGTATCACCCAAATACATTACCTAAGGAAGATATAGTGCAGTTCACAATCTTTACCACTGTACATGTGGCCCTAAACAGGGGAATGGCTGGAAGCAAATGGTACATTCACAAGATGGAGTATTGTGAAGTTAATAAAAAGAATGACTTCGTGTTTGTAGCTGGGATTTCTTCTAAGACACGCAGACATGGAAATGAAGGATAGTTTATACTCAAATATCCCTAGAATCAGGAAGCATGGCACACCATGCCATGAAGAGCCACACGGGGAAGGACCAGGATCAGTCAGGAGGCAGAGAGGGAGAGGGTGCAGCATGGCCTAGAGTCTTTATTAACATTTTCTGTGGGAAGGAATGGGGGAGGCAGGGCAGGTACACTGAGTAAGTTTGGGATTGGATTTTTTTTTTTGGGGGGATTGGATATTTTGAATAACTTCAGTAGACTGGGCTACAGGGCTGGTTCCCAGCTGCCTGGTACCTGGCTCTGGGGTGGGTTAGGGCAGGGGGAATACTGGCTCGCGTGTGAGAATTTGATAAAGGGGATGGTTGGGGGTGTGGACTCTGGATTGGTTGTCTTGTACACTAAAGGCATGCTTCCAGGGGGGTCCTTTGCTATCTCTGGGAATTAGTTCTGGAAGGGGCAGTGTCACCAGGATCGATCAAGGATCCAAATGCCACAGTATCAAGGATACAGAAAATAAGAAAATGTAGTCAATACAATTGGCCCTGTGACGCTCTGGCATCATATTAAGGAATCCCTGGGGGTGATACTAGTGGAGACTTTTAGCGAGCAGGGCATAAGTTGCACTAACACTGTAGAAAACATTTTACTAAGAGAGTAGAAAGGAAGAACACAAGTAGAGGTGTAAGGAGTCCTTGCAGGCCAGCCTATGACTAGATCTTCTATTTATATGGCATTAACCAAGAAATAGAAAATTCTTGGGGTCTCCAACAATATCTAAGTGGAGTTGGAAAGTGTGCTCAAGGTATGATATATCAAGATAGCAGGTCCAGCAGTTGTTCTGTTGGACAGTATGAAATGATACATTAGTAAAGTGTATGTAAGATTAGTGGGATTGTGTGTAACCAAGGAGAAAGAGTGGTTGTGGCGATCATGGTGGGAGGCACAAGGTGAGAGTAGGAAAATGCCTTGGGAACTAGGTGGTCCTCTCCCCAAAGTGCTGAGGGATTTGACTAATATGAGGCAAATGCCTCCAGGGAAAGCAATAATCTCCATTAATTTAGAACACAGATAGCAGTAACCTCTACTAGATTTCTCTTTAGGCACAGGTATGAGTGGTGTGCCTTTTGGCAAAGAACAAGGAGTAGGATCATGGGCTAGGCAGACAGTAGCTCAGAAATGTAATGGGATCCCTAATACCAAAGGAAGAAAAGCAAAAATGTCCTGTGTACAATTTGTGCCTTAGGAGAGGCAACCCATGTGTTGCTGGAAGCGAGGTTTTAGTGTCAGAGTGAAGTCATCTCCAATGATGGGCACTTGGAGTAGGAGATGCCCTCTGGGATACGGGGCTGGGGTATCCTTTCCCAGAGGGTATCCACTCGAGGTGATGTGGGGTCTCACATTTACCATGTTTGGGTCTTCAGACTGTAAATTAATGCAAGTATACAGACCAATAGCAATAAGACCAACAGTCAACAGGAAGATGAGCAGCTGCACTGAGAGGGCTTTTGTTTTTGGTGGAAGTTTCAGCTCAAATGGGTCCTCTATCAGGTAAACAGCTGTCTAGTATATGGACAATTTGGTTAATGCGCCCCTTGATCTGGCCTCCAGCCCTTCTGGGATGAAGGAATGATAAAACATTTATAAAGATATGGGAAGACATTATAAAAAGGGTCTCATTTACAAGGAGTCTTTATATACACGGAGGCAATGCACATCCCCTTTAAATATAAGGGGGAAAGAAAACTTTTAAAAGTTGGTGTGAGGTGTAAACTGGCCAAGAGCCCTTGAATTAAGAGAGATTAAGGCCTAGAGCAAGATAGAGACCCATTTAGGGGTCCATTTACCTGAGTGGAATTTGAAAAAGAGCTGTGTGAGACCATTATGTCTCTTAATTAAACTGGCTATCTGATACCTACAAGGGATGTGAAAGTTCTATTGAATACCTTTTCCAAGAGATTAGCATTGTGTATTTTTAGAAGAAAAATGTATATCTTAGTTATTAACAATAACATCTGTAACTCTAAAAGTAGTATGGCGTGCAACTGGAAAGGCCTTGTACTGTGGCCTAAATATATATGGAGATGTGTGATTTTGACTTATATTTTGGACATCTGTGAGGCAAGAGAGTCCCAGTTTTGTTAGTTTTTTTCTCCCTTAAAGGGACAATTTTAGGCAATGACCCAACAGTTTATAATAAATGTGAAATGAGGCTACTTGTCGGCCAGGGCATCCAGAAGTTTGGTTGAGTGTGTTGTCTCTTGGGTCCCATCCATTATTAGGGACATCCCAGCTAAGAGATGGAAAACAGCAACATTTCATTGAGCTCCATCATGTATGATGGTTAGCAGTGCCATTTGCATAGTCTATGTACTCCCATTGCTGTTCATTCAGTTAATCCCAAGTGGATTCTGAGCAGCCAAGTGATCTGGGGGAGGGATGACATCCTCCAGCACCATGGCACTTAACAAGGGACTGAGGACAGGGGAAGCCACCTCCTCCTGCAGGTGGAATATGCCAGAGAGCTCAGGTTCAGCTCCATCCTGTCTAAAGAGGCCTTGGTAGCTGTGCTGAGTTTCTGGTGTATTGTTTCTACGACCCAACACTTAACAAGCAGTTGGGTATGAAAGGTCACAGGCTCAGAGTATGTGAGAGCCTCCATTTTCCAGAAAGCTCAGCATGTATTTTATTTGTTGTTTTAATGGAGTATAGTATGAGGCTGAGAGGACAGTTTCTTGCATTGTAAGCCCTTGGACAACTTATGGCCATCCTACGTGGTCTAGAGATTCTAGGAGGTATGACAAGAGGTTGCCAAAATTTCCTTGGTGAAAGAGTCCTTCAGGGCACTAACGGGAGTACCTACTGATTTTAATTTGGAAGTAAAATTTGTAAATAAAGAATATGTTGCCTTCAGAACCCCTAAAGTACTAAAACATGTTGGACCTGTATACCTTAAATGTATATCAAATGAGTCTCCTTGGAGGAGGATGTCATCAATGTAACATCACACCTGTGCTCCTGGAAAAAGGTGGATGCAGTTGAGATCTTGTCTGCCTAGATTGTGATGGCAAAGCTGCTGAGGTACCCAATAGACAGTCTGGAAAAGATGTATTGTGTCTCTTTGAAGTGAAGGCGAACAGCAGCTAGAAGCTGGTGAAATAGGCACTGAACAGAACATGTTAGCCAAGTGTACAGGGGCAAAATATTTACAGGTTGTTGACTGAATAGAATCAGTAATTTCAATAATATTGGATATTCAAAACTACAATGAGGTACCATCTCACACTGGTCAGAATGACCATTATTAAAAAGTCTACAAATAACAAATGCTGGAGAGGGTGTGGAGAAAAGGGTCTCACACTGTTGGTGGGAATGTAAACTGGTGAAGTCACTATGGAAAACAGTATGGAGGTTCCTCAAAAAACTAAAAATAGTGTTGCCATATCACCCAGCAATTCCACTCCTGGGCATATACCCAGACAAAACTATAATTCGAAAAGATACATGCACCCCTATGTTCATAGCAACACTATTTACCTAAATGTCCATCTACAGATGAATGGATAAAGAAGATGTGGGATAAATAAACAAATATATAAATATATATATATGTATATATATATATATATATATATACACACAATTAAAAAGAATGAAATAATGCCATTTGCAGCAACATGGATGGACCTAGAGATTATCATACTAAGCAAAGTAAGTCAGAAAGAGATAGGCAAATACCATATGATGTCACTCATATGTGAAATCTAAAATACAACACAAATGAACATATCTACAAAATAGAAACAGACTCACAGACATAGAGAACAGACTTGTGGTTGCCCAGGGCGAGGGGGGTGGGGGAGGGAAGTATTGGGAATTTGGGATTAGCAGATGCAAACTATTATATATATAGGATGGATAAAATATAGGTCCTACTGTATAGCACAGGGAACTATATTCAATATACTGTGATAAACCACAATGAAAAAGAATATGAAAAAGAATATATATATGTATAACTGAGTCACTTTGCTGTACAGCAGAAATTAACACAACATTGTAAATCAATTATACTTTAATAAAATTTAAAAGAAATAACATTGGATATTGAGTACGGGGGCCCCAATGGATGGGACCACATCATTAACGTTGTAGTAATCCATCATAAGGTGGCATTTTAATCTTATTGCTATATAAATTCTTTAATATATTCATTTAGTATATAAATTTTGGATTTACAATTACATCAAATTATAAAACTTTGCTTTAATATTATATTTATGTATATATTATTCAATTACCTTTTATTTTCTGTTTTTGCTTTTAAATCATTAAGTAATCTACAATTAGCATTATGTTTGCTAGATTGGTGTTTGCTTAGTACCTAAGATTTAAAGTTCCTGTTTTTTCTCCCCTTGAGCTTGTATCCACCTAAAGTGGCAGTCAGTTTTTCTGTTCTCTTCCTGTTTCAGGCTTTTGCACCCTGAAGGTGCAGCCTTTACTTTCTTTTTCTGGCTAATAAGAGGAAAAAAGGGAGGCTGAAGGGGCCAGGTGCTTCTGGGCAACTTACCCCCGGAATAAGAATCATCTTGTCCATGGAATCATCAGTCCATGGAATCATGGACCCTGTCCATGGAATCATCAGTCCCTTCCTCACACTGCCACCTTTTTTTTTTAAAACTTACAGAATGGCTTGTACCTCTAGATGACTAAAACTTTTCCTTTTTTTTTTCTGTTGGGTGTTTACCTGATAAGCTCCTATTGGTCGCTAGTGGCCTCTCTGTAAGCAGCGCCCCCCCTTCTCTAGGGTGTCCTAATCAACCTTAGAGGGGCTAGGGTCTACATCTAGGAAAGCAATGGTGGCATCAACTTCACCTTTTACATTTTTTGTTTTGAGCATGAGACTCTTTGCATGTTGATAAGCAGCAGCTCTCATGAGGGCCCATATGCATGGACCAGGGCTTTGTATGTTTAAAATTAATTGGATCAACTCTTCAGGTCTTGGTGGGGGACATGTTGGAACCTGGTGCTCCTTTCCTCTCCTCTCCTTCTTCATTAAACACTGAGCCACGGTCTCCAGGGATGGGCCCTCTTATACCTTACTAGTGTGGGGAACGGATTGCTTGCGACAGCAGGAAGCAGACATAGCAGAGAAGCTTGTGACCTGAACAATGCTTGTGGGGAGCCATGATCTCCTGAGAAGGCCCTCACACCAAACCCACAAATGGCCCACAGCACACAGGTGAGTGCTCAGGTGGAGCCATCTCCGACTACTTTGAGGAATAGGCTGAGACTTGACTCAGAAAAGCTCAGAGGGGAAAAGGAAAATGGTTTATGGATGCCTACAGGAACATGTAACGTCGCAGACACGAGGTACTGATAAGGCCTCACTGGTTGTTGGCGCTGCCCAGTCAGTGGATTAGGCTCATCCCATGGCTCTAGGAGGGTAGTCATTCCACATCCCCAGCAGATGGACCTTTTCGAAATGTACCAGTTACCTACGTGTATTTGAAGTTTGGAGAAAGACTCCTTTTTTCTTAAAATTAAAAAAAAATTCCAATTTCAATAGCATTCTCAAAGATTGTTAAGAATCCTCACCAAGTGAGAAAAAGTGAGAGTAAAATGGTCAGGGCTTAAGAAGATCAACTACAAAGTAAATGTATGGAAAACGTTTGGCCAGAAAGGTCTGATATGAGGCCTAACACACACTTAAAAACTCAACAACTGTATACTTGGTATTCAAGCTCACAAAAACCTCTTTAACTAGCCTCCTATTGATAGAATCAGAAAGAAAGGGAATATAAGATTAGGTTCATGATAATCACTTGTGGGTTATGACACAAGAAGAGTGGAAAATAAAATGGAAATTTTATGACATTTCATGTTTAAGCCAAATTCCCTGCCAGGATATTTTCTGCTTTGATGAATGAAGTAGGACTTGGTCACATCTTACACAGATTCATAGAAGAGTAGTTTAAGCTGCCATCTGATGCATTAAAATAAAGGAAATATGGTATCTTCCCTAAGTTAAATACCTCCTGTGATGCACTTTTTAGATTGTGGAAGGCAATGAGTTCAAGAAAATTTAACATAAAGCTAGATAACGGTTAAGTAAATGAAATCATTGCAAAAACGGAATACATAAATAATAATAAACAAATTTTGATGTTAACTTCTCAACTATACTTTTTGATATAATCCTCAGTAAAATCATTCTTGAAAGTGAAAATGAGCAAGGTGATGGTACAACCAGCAGAAGAAAGTCAGTGCTGATAACCTCTAGGTGCTCATCCTCTAAGACTGCGTCTTATTGTTCACACAATCTGCTCAAGTTCCCACAAAGGGGCTACCATGACCTGTCTCCTTCTACTATAGCTATACGGGCTGCCGCAGACAACAGCCACTGGGATCAAGGAGACATGTTCTGATTAAATAAACTATATGGAACTCTGTTGCAGGGTTTCATGCAACTATTAACTTCATTTTAAAATAAAAGGAAAAAAACCACCCAAATTCAGGGCTAATTTAGCTGTCACTGGACAGTTAAAAAAATAAAACAGTCCTGTTTTAAAAGTTTCATCAATAGAGACAAAAAGGTACTAAGAATGATAGTCATCCTTCCTCATCACTGCTGCTCCAGGCATCTTCAAATGCTGGATTTAACTGTGCTCTGGTTGAAGTCTAAAAAAAAGGGGCAAAAAAGAAAGACTCAATTATTCTACCTCATAATTTTAGGCTCACAATATAGTTATGAAATATATCAGATAAAAAGCAACTAGATTATTTTTGAAGAAACTATATAATTGTTAATTTCAAACCAAAAGTTAACAAAAGAAACACCCCGCATACAATATAAAATAATGTAACTTCATTTTAAATAGACATATCAGACTTTATCTAAATTATCTGTTTCCTTCAAAGTAGTTACCTCATACACACACACAGACATGCACAGACACACAGACACAGAGACACACACACATTGCTATTGCTATTACTTAAGGCATTTTTACACCTCTTTGGAGTTACCTGGAGAAGAGGGCACATTAATATCCATGTGGCTAAACCTGGACTCAGGTCTACAGTCTGACTTGAGAGTCCAAACTATTAATGTGAGCAACTTTTTACTGCTTGGATGGACCTGATTTTTATAAATAAGCAAATAACCACATGTGGGGAATAAGGTGTTCATCAAACAGAGTAATATCATTTTTGGTATTAAGTGGCGAGGTTTATGTATGTATGTATGTATGTACGTATGTAGCTAGGAAAGCAGTTGAAAAAGACAGGTAAAATGTATTGGAAACGGTAACATTTTGTCATTAGCATATAGGTTTCCCTGGGAGATTTCTGTGAAAGAGAACATGCATTAGATGGTATTTATCTAAAATAACAAAACATCACAGTACTCTCACAACTTTAAAGCTGTGCCTAATAAACGTAATCAGCAACAGAGGAATTTTAATTACCTGTGGTATTTCAAATCAATTCACTTGTCTGGGGAAATTTTTTGAATGGCTAACCTTCTTATTCTTTGGCAAATGATTAAAGGACTTTAAAATGATCTCTTTTTTGAGTATCTGGGCATTATGAGCCACGTGTGCTTCCTACTCTGCAGCTTTTATGTCTGCTGCCAGTTTGTTCAGACTCCAAATCCAATAATGTATTAGTTCTTAGATTATTCTTAAATTATCTTAGATATATTACCTTTTACAACACATAGCAGTATTTTATGTTAAGGGTAGCCCCTACTGTATGTCTGAGAATGTTCATTTCCTTTTGATGAACCTGATGATTTAGACTCTTAAAATTCAAACAATGATAACAGTAGAAAAAGTGGGTGTTTGCAGTAAATTCCCCAAGTATCAGCCAGGACAGTCAGAAAACAATATGTGAATTTAGGTATTCTTTATAGTTGTTAAAGCTTAGATCTGAGTCCATTACTTAATCTAATGGTGGTATTGTCACCATTACTAAACCTAATATTGGCTATTGTCACTTAGTTGCACAAACAAAATTCCATTATACCTGGTGTCCAGATCCAAAACTATTACCAAACCTCAGCAAACTATTCACTTATTTCTAGTAGCAGTCCACTGATTTGCAAGAGTAGCATACTGAAGACTGTTCATTTATTCTTTCATCCAAGTGTTTAATGAATTTCCTACCTTTCTGGGTTTATAATTTAACTACCAAGTTAGGTTATTTAGTGACAGTTTATTTAAAGATGTATTATCCTTAGGGGTTAGGTGATTATTCTTCCCTACTCTAGCTGTAAAAGCCTTTAACTCTGCCTTAGATATCTACCCCAAAATGTCCCTGGGTAGATGAACCACACAAAGGCCATGCCTTCTAGTTTCACTATGGAAGCCAAATATGTAACCTATTAAACAATTTAAATTTCATTTTAAAAATCAACAGAGAAGCAAAATTATATTTTAATGTAAATTACTGTTGCTATGGTAAGCAAGCAAAAATAAGTGAAAATTGGAAAGGCAGTTGCATATAAATTTTACTGTTTATAGCATTAAAGGATAACAATATGAATATATTACAGTATTATTAGAAGTACATTTTATTGTTAAAAAACACAAATAAAACATCTTACTTGTAATTGAAAGCTTCAGTAAAAATATTATATATGATGTGGTACACATATACTGTTTGAGACCTACTGATCAAGTTAACTACCATCTATTACTTCAGTTTTCTCTACAACATCTCCTCCTAGTGGACATTCTTTCTATGCTTGAACATACCCATCCAGCCTGCCTGTTCTACTGACAGATAGTTGTGAAGTTGTCAATGTTACGGAGACAGGGAAGCATGAGTTTAAAGGGGATCTAGTTCAGGTCCATGTAACAGGAAGGAAGAACAAAACCAAACTGGACCATCTTCCACACATGCATCTTGATAAATTCTAAATTTCTTACTGGTAATTAGTGGAAAATCTTTATAGGTAGAATATAGGGTTGTCTCAATATAGCAAGTGATTATACATCTACACAAGTGGTAAATAAAACAGCTACATATTGTGTAACTGTCAAAATAAAGTAAGATTTTTGATGAAAGGTCAGATTTAAACTGTAATATAGTCACCCTAGAGATCTCAGACAGGAAAAAGTGAGTAGGAGTTACATAAGCTTGCTTTGATTGTGACCAAATGTTAGGAAGAGGGGGCAAAAGGAAGGTAGATTCCTCAGAATATAACAAAACAGCCTGCCAATTAAATAATAGGATTTATGCTTAAAGACCATAAAACCTGCCCCTATTGCCCAATGCCCTTCAATTTCTTATGGTAGGACTAAGTTCCTCCTCTATCTTGGATATCAGAAGAAAACACCCCTAAGGGATTATATCTTGGTTGATGGAGAAGTAAATCTCATCTCAAGGGTGGATTTGAAAGGAAACCTAAGAACAATTTTGCTTTGATGATTCTGATGTTTGAAGATATCATAAACTTGTCTCAGATCACTAATGAATGGCAGAACTGGGATTCGAACCCAGTTACCAGTATTACTATTATTTAGTTTACCTGAAACTACAGACGAAGTGAGTGTGTGAGTATGTGCATGTGTATGCTTTGTTTTGTGTTAAGTTGCCTCTCTGGGGAACTGCAGCAGTCCTTCATTTGATAGGTGAGATGAAAATACTTTTAAATATGAGTTAAATAGTAAATATACATGTAAGGAACAGGGTCTAGTGTAGACAGACTTCTCTATTGGGATCTGCATCGTGATCATATTCATGTTCTACCTACATTCACAGAAATCTTTCAAACTAAAATTTTGTGGAAATAATCTTAGCACTTACCATTTTATATTAATTTGAGAATGGTGCCTATCTTAAAGAATATATACAGTGCATTTTAAAAGGTAAGGTTTCATAGCTCTAAAGCTTAACTATAAAGCTAACCTATTTTTTGTGTACCTCTGTTTGATTTCTACTTGTTCAGCTTAACTTCCCATATACAAAAATTCTTCTAGATGGGGAGTTCAAACTATCACTATAACTATATAATGAGGAAATAAACCATCAGAGTCACATACTCTCTTTATAAAATAAGCAATTTAGTTTTCTTCTAAATAATATCCTTTTTTCATACATAAGTCAAAGATGATTTTTTTTCTTTTTTTTTTGGTGCTGGCCTCTCATTGTTGTGGCCTCTCCCGTTGCGGAGCACAGGCTCCGGATGCGCAGGCTCAGCGGCCATGGCTCACGGGCCTAGCCACTCCGCGGCATGTGGGACCTTCCTGGACCGGGGCACGAACCCGTGTCCCCTGCATCGGCAGGCGGAATCTCAACCACTGCGCCACCAGGGAAGCCCAAAGATGATTTATTTCTAACTTTTTTTTTTATAGTTTTCATTTGGTGAATGACTGTTAAACTTTCTAACATGGCCTATAGTACTATGAGTTGGATTTAATGTATATAGTAATTCCCAAACAGTAGGACACAGTAATTAAATAATAATGCAAAATCAATGGCTGAACCAAATTATTTGAACATATTAAGCTTTGTACAAAAAAAAATTCAGTATTTAAAGCAGGTGTACACTAAAACTAATCAAAGCCATAATAAATCAAATTAGACACATGATGAAATCTGGAAGATTTCACCTTTAGATAGCTTGACAAAAAAGTAAAAAAATTCAGAGGCTACTACCTAAGACCAGAAATCATGTCTTATTTATCTTTGTTTTCCCACCACATTTTTCAGGTTCTTTATTCACACTGTCATATTTGTACCAGTTTATGCTCTGAGATAGGCACTAACAGACTGCTGGTAGAAGTGTAAACTGATAAAATTTGATAGTGTGAATAAAGAACCTTAAATATTATGTCATACATGATAACTCAAGAGGTAACACTACTTCTAGGAAACTAACCAAAGAAGTAATCAGAAATGTAAATAATTTTTGAACAGATATTTACCTTGATGTGTTTATAATGATCAAAAGAAATGTCTTCCAATAGGAAAATATTTGAGTAAATTATGGTAAATAAATGACAGAATGCTATATTATTAAAAACAATATTTACAAATACTTATTAATGACATGGAAAAAGTCTTAAGCAGGATGCTAAGCTGTATGTTCAAGCATAATATTAACCATGCTAAAAAGTATGCACAGGAAAAAACAAGAATGAATTAAATCAAAATGTTAATAGTAATTAATAAACTTCAGAAATTTATGTTCTTCTCTTAATATTTTTTTGAATTTTCCAAATATATTATAGAGGCAAATTATTTTTACAATCACAAAATAGCAAGAAATGCTTTAAAAGTTTCTCTCATATAAAGTAAATTAATAAAAACTTTTTTTATGATTTAGAAGTCACTGTTCAATTTGTATAAATAATATTTACCTCCTCATCATCAGGAACTGATTCATGTAAGGATGGTATCCAAGCAAGAATATTGCAGTCTCTGCTACCGCTATAAAGTTCCTATAACACAAAGCAAAGATGTAATTGTAGGTCACTTTAAAGCTGGTGCCAATCTGAAATAAATGTCATCAATTTTTAAATGATTATTTCTTAGGTTAGATTAATTAAGATTAATTCTATTTCTACTCCCCAAAGAAACTGGGCTGATGTTTTTTTCTGTTTGTTTAAGGTGTAGTAAAGACTTGTTTTGTATTTAAAAATAGTATTAGGATATGTTAACATGTTGCTAACATGTTAAAATTCACAAAAATAATCACTGTAATTTTTAATCAATCATAGTATCCTTTTTTTTTTGCAGTATGCGGGCCTCTCTGTGCTGTGGCCTCTCCCATTGCGGAGCACAGGCTCCGGACGCGTAGGCTCAGTGGCCATGGCTCATGGGCCCAGCCGCTCCGCGGCATGTGGGATCTTCCCGTACTGGGGCACGAACCTGTGTCCCCTGCATCGGCGGACTCTCAACCACTGCACCACTAGGGAAGCCCCATAGTATCCATTTATTTCAAGTGTCAGAGAATGAGAAAAAAATAAATTTCGTCCTTTTCTGTCAATAACTGAGCTTTAATAAAGACTTCAATGAAGAAACCATACGAGTTTCTAGCTAAAATAGACCAAAAGTTCAAAAAAAGAACTCAACTAAAGAGCATTAAGACATATATGCCATGCTTGCTGAGAAGCTTATTTTATAAGCAGCTTGGGCTGATGCACAGTCAGTGTCAATGTCTTTATGGATATGCTGCCTGCACATGCTGAACAATGTTCATTCACCTCCCCACAAAACTTCAGAAATGTTATATTGGCTAGTACTGAAAATATTCCTATGCGGCAGTGAAAGAGATACGCTCCCATACAGAGGGTATAAATTGCTATAATCTTTTCAGAGAATGAAATCTCAACATGTGTCAGAAGTTTCTGTATGCATTTCTAGGAAGTCATGCCAAAGACACACATGAAATTCAAGGATATTATCATCAATATTATATTTATAATAACAAAAATAATAATAATTTTCCAAAAATTATTGTCCAGGGTAATGATTTCTAAATTTATGCTGCATTAATATAATGTGATATTACATAATCACTAAATTTATTTTTGAAGAATATTTAATGACAGTGGAAAATATTCATATTGTCAAGAGAAAGGAGCAGGATGTAAACCAAATAGTCATAGTGTGAAAAGAAAAAAACAGGATGTAAAATACTAGGTCAATTTTTTAAAAAGCTACTAAGCAAAGAGGAAGGGCTAAAAAGAAAAAACAGCAAAATGTTAAGTGGTTATAAACCTCTGACTGACTAAATGTTTATTTTTCTCACAAATATATTTCTACACAAATATTTCTAACACTATAACTTTTTTTTCCTGTTCTGGTATGAAATTATTTAGTTTTACTGTTACTCATCTCAAAAGCTATTTGAGGCATGGTACAATTAGTATTTTTCTAAAAAAAATATGTAAAGGTTCTGGGTAAAGGGAAAATAAGATTATGAAGTGATTTATAGGAAATATAGATATAAAGAGAATTAAGTAAATTACATTTAGTTACACATTATCAGATTTCCTAAATGGAACAAAATTCTACAGACTGCACTGTTAAATCTAGAATGTATGGTTACACTAACTATGGATGATGCAAAGATATTTTCATATGCTCAGTGCCCTAGAGCAATTTAGTTTCCTGAGAAGATATATACCCAAGATACACTAAGGTCAGATAACTTTGTCTTATGTTTCCTCATGATTAAATTCAGGTGATATATCTTTGCCAGGAATATCACACACTTTGATAATTTGATTAAGCTGATGTATGCCAGTCTTCTTCAAGGTAAAATTACTCATTTTACCTTTGTAATTAATATTTTGTAGGGTGCTACCTTGAGATTATGTAAATTCCTCATCAGACTTTCAATTTATTACTTACTAATAGCAGAATGGACTCATGGATCCCTATTTTAGTCAAAGGGAAATAATCAGTTATTATCATTATTTATTTTGATGTTGGGTATATATTTTCAAATTTTTACATTTATGATAGAATTACTATAAATATCAATTTTATTTTCAGATAGTGGGCTGTGTGTAACATGTAATTGGTTAAAAGGGTTCTGATGCTGAATGGAGGCAAAAATACTACTCTCCTTTACTTTTATAATTTAGATTTATAATTATTTTCCTTTTCAGAAATCATAATAGGGATAAGAGTTGGAAGCTTTCTGATGTAATGCAGTGATTCAAATCTTTCTTAGGGCACAGCACATATAGAAATGGTATTTGTCACACTTCCTTGGTGGTGTAGTGGTTAAGAATCCACCTACCAATGCAGGGGACATGGGTTCGAGCCCTGGTCCAGGAAGATCCCACATGCTGCGGAGCAACTAAGCCTGGACACCACAACTACTAAGCCCACGCAGCACAACTACTGAAGCCCATGCGCCTAGAGCCCGTCCTTTGCAACAAGACAAGCCAGCGCAATGAGAAACCTGTGCACCACAACAGAGAGCAGCCCCTGCTCGCCACAACTAGGGAAAGTCTGCGCACAGCAACGAAGCTCCAATGCAGCTAAATAAATAAAAAATAAATAAATAAATAAATAAATAAATAAAAGGAATGGTATTTGCCAGGAGGCAACTGGTCCCAGCTCTCTGGCTATCCTAGGCTTGTCCCAGCTATTCCAGGGACTGAAGGGAATCAAATATCTGGACATACTTTCAATACATTCTAGGAAGCTCTGATTTGGTGGAAAGCAAAAACTGGTAGTCAGAATACCTGTGTTAAAATCTTGGCTGTGTCTCTAAGTGACTCTGGATAAGAAAAGAGGTACTGTATTCTAAGAATTTCTTTGAATGGATAATCATGCTTTGTCAATCTACTTGCAGATTTGAGGCAAGTCACATCACCCCTCTGGTTGCCTTAGTAGCCTTTTCCCAGAAGTAACACTAAAAATATTTAATAATTGGTACATCAGGACACTGGCCAATCCGAAGAGATACTGGACACAGAGAGGGAGCAGGGTCTGAAGGTCCCTCTTAGTTACTGGGTCTAGGAGGCCCCAGGGAAGGGGGTGAAGCTGGAAGTCACTTAGGGGGCTTAGTACAACAGCTATGTAACAAACAGCAGGATATGAATTTGAGTATTTTAATAATGGATACTGCCATGCTGACGTGTGCTGGCTGAAAAACCAGCCCTGTATATCTTACTTCACAGCGTCAGACACAAATTAAGTAATGAGTATTAATGAATGAATGAATAAGGTGATAAAGTCCCTCCTAGCTCTAATAACCCATAATATTCATTCTTTCAGTATTTAATTTTCATGAGCCTCATTTTCGTTATCTACGATGCAGGGAAAATACCAACAATCTTGCTACATTAGGGACTCATTTAAAGGAGCATATGAGGTAATCTATGCAAATGTTCTATGAAAAAACCAATCTGCTCCATTGGTGAGATGAAAGAGAAAGGTTAGGATGTTAAACAAACAAAAACCATAGGTATTTAAGAAATTATGTATGTTGCATCAACACTAAAGTAAACTTATTAGCTATTGGCAGAAAATAAGAAAAAAATAAAATTTCAGACATTCACACATACGTAAATCAAGATACACAAACTATATTTTGAGATGAGACACGTATGTTCCATTTTTTTCCCAAAAGCTCGTTTGCAAGAAATTATTTTAATTTGCCAGAGATTTTCAACTGCCAAATAAATGGAGCCCATATACAAAAGAAAGAATTTATCCCAGTCAAGTTGCACAGTATTATATTGATTCACAGAGACATCCTATGCCACCTAAAAAAAATCTATCCTCTATTAAATAAACTCTAGCTCAGATGTGGATAAAAAGCATAATTCCTTAGAATGAAATTGCAATTTACTCTTTTATATACAACTACTCTGGCAAGCTAGCTACCCAAACATTCTAAATTCCCCTAAATATCATTCTTACCTGGAAATTAGACTGAAATACACAGCAGTCAACACTTTTATAATGTCCCTTAAGCATAGTTATCTGTTCTCCTGAGTAAACTGTATAAACAGCAATGGTGCTACCATATGGTACAAAAACAAATTCTGAACTGCAGCCACAGGAGACAGTGAATTTCAATCCTTTTCTACTGTCATTACATACTTTTCCATAGTTCACCTGTAGGATGTAAAAGCATAAAGTTACTTACTTAAATCTGAATTAAAAAAACAAAGATAGGAAAAAATATTTACTTAAAATATTCTACTATAGAAATGACTCTAGTAAGTCTAAAAATAAAAAGATCAATGTCCTAATAGGAATAAGGGCCAATGACACAAATGTACATTTCATATACGAGGGAAACACAAATAGTAAAAAGACCCACAAAAACAAATGTTCACATTTAAACTGTGATAGAAATAAAAATGCAAATTAAGGCAACCTTGAAGAATCATTTTAGACCATTTAGCAAAAATTTTAATAAACCATTGAGACATTCAATACTAGTACAAGTGAGGTAAACGTGTAGGTGGCACCACAATTTGATCATTCTTTCTAAAAGACCAAATGGTTTATTATGCAACAAAATATAAAAGTACACTTTATGTATATATATATACACACACACACACGTATATGTATATACTCCCTCCAGAAAAAAAAATTAAATATATACACACATACATATATAATATATATATATTTTTGGAGGGAGGATAACTTTCTTTTTATTTATAACATTTTAAATTATGATAAAATACACATAACATAAAATGTGCCATCTTAACCACAATTTAAGTGTACAGTTCAGTGACATTAAGTATATTCACATTGTTGTGCAACCGTCACCACTATCCATTTTCCATCTTGCAAAACTGAAACTCTGTACCCTTTAAACAACAAAGACATTATTCCTTGACCTAGTAACTACTACTGGGAATTTATCTTAGGGAAATAATTAAACAGCAAAAAGGTACATGCCGAGAGGAATTCAATTCCACACTATCTAGAATGGCAAAGTAACTGAGAATAGATGTAAATTCCTAATAGTGTTATATTAACTCTACAGTTTATATAGAAATTTAAAAAATCATAAATATGAAAATTATGCAGAAAATAGGGATAAAAGCTAAGTATAAAAAAGCAAAGAACACAAATACTGTGTATACTACAATTGCAGCTTCTTATAAATAATTATATATTTGGGACAAAACCAAAAATTCTACACCTGTAAGTCAAAGATGCAAGACCAACAACATCAGCATCACCCGAGCAGTTAGAAACAAATTCTAGGCCCCATCGCAATCTACTGAACTAGAATCTTCATTTTAACAAGATCCCTAGATGTTCTGTAGGTTCATCAAAGTCTGAGAAGCTTGGGGATAAAGGTTTACTTCCTGGTGATAATTTAGATAAGAAGCTTAGGGTAAGTGTAAAACCAGTATCTAATCATTTAGGAATTATGAGCAAGCAGATCACCAATATCTCCCTTCACTATGGCTAATAATGGAGTTTAAACAGACAGTGAGTGATTTGCCTTCTTCTTTTTCTAAAGGTTGGGTGGGAGTGTGTGTGTGTGTGTGTGTGTGTGTGTGTGTGTTTCTGTGTATAAACAAACACTGAGGCTCAAATGGATATATGCTGATAATTGTGGATACTACATTTGGCTTACCCACCCTCGAGGTTAACATGTGACAGAAATGAGCATGTGTGTTCAACTATCTCAATGCAGCAGCGGTACAGTGAAATGTTAAAACATTAAACTTATAATCAGTAGACTTTGGTTTTTGAAAGCCACTCCACCCCTTTTTTTTTTTTTTTTGCCTCTTATGAGTAATGAATGATTTAACCTCTGAGTTTCATTCTTCTAATCTGTTAAAAGGAAATAACATCATTTACCAGAGTTATTGTGAAAAATAAAATGAAATAATGCAGGGGCTTGCCTGGTGGCGCAGTGGTTAAGACTCCACACTCTCAATGCAGGGGGCCCGGGTTCAATCCCTGGTCAGGGAACTAGATCCCACAGGCATGCCGCAACTAAGAGTTTGCATGCCACAACTAAGGAGTCCGCCTGCCGCAACTAAGACCCAGTGCAACCAAATAAATAAATAAATATTTTTTAAAAAATGAAATATTGCATAAGAAAACACTTAGGATATAGAAGTATTCAGTGAGTCCTTAGATTTATTAATTCCTATATATTTAAAAGAATAATATTCCCTCATTTGTGTCTTTTGATCCTCCATGCACAACAATTTGTAGAATAACACTGTGGGGTGGGGAGGTGGGGTGGAGAAAAAACACAAATCTCAACTAGCAATTCTCTGTTCCTCCTGGAAAAATTATGAACTGCTAGAATGTGATGGTCTTATTCACACATCAGAACACCTACCTACGAAACCTATTTTCTTTCCACTATACCACATTCCTTCCCAAATGTGAACTGGAAAGTGTTCAATGAGGTATAAATACTGAACCAGCTAATTAACTTTTGTCTTTGTCCTTAGGCGTTCCCCCTGCAATCCATCTTGCAACTTACTGTCCTATTAATCTTGGTAAATCACTGCTGTGATCAAATCAGCTGTGGGCTCAAAACTATCAATATATTTTCAATGCCTATGGAATGAAGTTCTAGTAACAGGTGAAGGAAAGGAGAGATCTACCAATTACTAAGTGCTTAGTGTCACACACTGTGCTAGGTGATTATCTAAGCTCCCCGTTTTATGACTATAAACACTTACCATAAAAAGCAGTATGTGACAAATATCATGCTATATATTATGAAAGTATTGAAGAAGAACAGGCTACTTTTGGTTATGATGTCTTAAAGGTGGTATGTACAGTCTTTGAAAAGATTCTGATAGGGGAGGAAAATTTCATAGATGTGGGATAGGATGATGGCAAACACAGTTCCCTATCTTATGAATCCCTTTTATTGTCCCAGGAAATATATACATCTAGTCACTGAATAAATACCTACAGTGATGCCGAGATTCCGTCATAAGGCAGCCCATTTCACTGTCAAACAACTATCAGCGTAATTAATAATAATGACAGGTAATGTTTACTAAGTGTTAACATTTGCTGTAAGTATCAGACAATGTGCTAAATATTTTACATGCATTATTTCATATAATATGCAAAACAATACTATGAGATAGGTAGCATTATTAAACAAAAAGAAAACACTTAGAAAGGTTAAGTACTTCGATCAAGGTCTCTTGGCTAGTAAGTGACAGAATCAGAAACTGAAATCTAGACTATACTAACCAAAAAGCACTGTGCGACACTGTGGTAAATTATTTTTCTTTAATTCCACTAAGTGATGATCACAGTCTACTGTAATACAAGTGAGCACTGGGTACTCTGGAAGCAGGGAAGCTAGACTAGAGGAGTTAAAAAGAGATTGTGCCTGAAATGAATCTTGAAAGCTGAGAAGCAGCTAGGACAGGAAGGAGGAGACGGTATTCCAAAGCAAAGGCAGCAGTCGATGCAAAGAATGGAAGGGTGAGAGAGCATATATTTAAAGACCTTTAAGTAGCTCAGTATGGCTAAGGACACGGGAAAAAATGGGGAAGTGGCCAGATATAAAGCTAGTGAGCTAGAAGGGACAGCTTATGAAGACCTTGTGCACAACAGGCAAAAATATTCAGTTTTCATAACCTGAAAGTTTACTGAGGAAACACTTTCACTGGGAGATGAGTTTGGGAAAAGTTAGACGGACATTAGAGTAATTAAAGAGAGACCATGAGGGCCCAAAGTGAGGCTGGAAGGGAAGAGAGCTAAGAAATAAATTATGAAGAAACAATTAAGAGGACTTGTAAATGATTTAATAGCTGGGATAAGGGAAGGGAAGAGTAAAGGATAGACGCCCACTTTCTAGCCACTGGTGACTGGGTGAATGATAACACCAATAACTAAAACAGTAAACACCAGAAGAGCTATTTTAAAATTTTGTTGCTGTGCCAAAAGCTGTCTCTCTGTGAATTTTCCCTGTAGGTAGAGTTTTCTGTACTCTAAGGGAATGGTTTCCAGAGTGCAGTTGACACCTCAAAGAGTCTGTAAGATGATCCATTAAGGTATGAGGGGAAAATATGAGAATTTCTATTTCATTTTTAACTAAAAAATAAGAAATTAAGCTTTAATAAAATATATAGACTCACAACAGTACGTGTATATAATTTATAAATAATTATACATATATTGGAAGCATGTACTTATACATTTTTCTTAAATTATAAGGGTACTACCAATAAGGCAACACCATACAATAAAAAGTTATCATTTATGATATGCCTATTATTTAGCAGGTACAGTACTACTCTTAACATACTTCCATTTTGCCCTTACAATTACTGTTTAGGTACCTAATAATCCTGATTTACAAGATGGAGACACTGAAACTCTGACCATAGTCCTTCATGATCTCACCTTAAATAAATTGCCTACTACCCAAATTACTATATGGCAGGGCTGAAATTTGCTTACTATTCTGTCTGACAGCACTTTAAGTGTTTGAATACAGTGTGCTTCCCCTGAGAGTTACTTTTTCTGGGATCAATGTCCCAATTCCTTCAAGTGTTCTTTGTAGGTGAGTTTCTGGGCCACTTTAGTATTTTTGCATGAATGACTTTTCCTTTGATCAAGTCCTTTTTAAAATGTATTATCCATTCTAAACACACTATTCAAAATATGGGCTTACTTGCAAAAATCCATAGAGTATGAGTATCACCACCTTCAAGATGGAGAGAAAAATGGAATAAAATCACATTAACAATTTATGTATGTACTCAATACCATTTATTTCTATCACATTCACCTTTGATGCACATGTAATCTACTTTTCCAAAATGACCCTGTCACTTCTCCACTCAAAAGCCTTGAGAGGCTTTCTATCTCACGCATAGAAAAAGCCGAAGCCCTTACCAAGGGCTACAAGCCTGTAAGCTCTGGTATCCTGTTCCTTCTGTTGCTTATCTCCTATTACTCTCCCCTTTGCTTACTCTAGTCTAACACAAGAGCCACATACATGCTCCTTGGGTATCCCAAGCATGCTCCTGCCTCAGGGTCTTTGTACTTTCTTCCTTCCTCTTCCTGGAATGCTCTCCCTCCCAGATGTTGGATGGCTCACTCCTTCATTTCCTTAAGGCCAAATGTCATCTTCTGAGTCAGACCTAGCCTGACTGCCCTAGGTAAAACATCAACTCCAGCTTCTTAATATTTTTTATGCTCCCTTCCTTGCTTTGCTTTTCTTTATAGTACTTACTGCACCGAATATATATATTACCCATTCATCCATCCATCCATTCATTGATTGATGAATGTCTTTCTTTCTCTCCCTGGAACGTAAGCTCCACAAGGATAAAACTTTTCTATGTTTTGTCTATTCCTGTATAATACTGCCTGGAAAATAGGAAGTACTCAATAAATTCTTATTAAACAAATGAATAAAATGAGAAAAAGGAAGGTGTGACCTGATTAGGGACATGGTACAATATAATGAGTGGGAGATTCTAAATTAAAATTTGCAATGTCTGAGTTTTTAGCCTGAGACACGATGGAAAAGCATTTCATAAAGAATAAGAGGGATTAGCAAACCCTAAAGTAATCTGGCACAAACAATTCTGACCTTAAAGTTAGTTTTTAATAATAAAAGTGATACCTAGAATATCTAAGAGAGAATTAGCTAGAAAGGATGATTAAAGAAAGGAATATGATTAATATTAATATGAACCTTAAGGTAGTTAATAAATGCTTTAAGGGGTCTGGGTATAATCAGCATTATGGCAAGAGTAGAATCTAGAGTCAAACTCTGTTGCTTTCTAGCTATGTAAATTCAGGCAAGTTACCTAATTTTATGTCTTATTTTCCTCATGTGTAAAATGGGTGTTATAAGAGTAACACCCTTCATAGTGTTGATGTGGTGATTAAACAACACCATGTGTACTCTGGCACATATATTAAATGTTAATTTTTATTAGCGTAGTAACTGGCACATAAGCTCTCAATAAATATTAACTATTAGTATTATTGCCAAATTATAAACTTTTGGTAGCTTATTCTGAAAGTGACTAAACCAGAGGTACATCTGGTAAGGACTATAACATAAATTTTTAAAAAGACTAAAAATTAATTACCACATAAGAATCTAGCACTTGTATGGAGAGGGTGTGGAAAAAAGGGAACCCTTCCACACTGTTGGTGGAAATGTAAATTGGTGCAGCCACTATGGAAAACAGTATGGAGGTTCCTTAAAAAACTGAAAATAGAGTTACCATATGATCCAGCAATCCCACTCCTGGGCATATAATGGGAAAAGATGAAAACTCTAATTAGAAAAGATACATGCAGGCTTCCCTGGTGGCGCAGTGGTTAAGAATCCACCTGCTAATGCAGGGGACATGGGTTTGAGCTCTGGCCAGGAAGATCCTACATGCTGTGGAGCAACTAAGCCTGTGCGCCACATCTACGGAGCCTGCGCTCTAGAGCCTGTGAGCCACAACTACTGAGCCTGCATGCTGCAACTACTGAAGCCTGTGTGCCTAGAGCCCATGCTCCACAACAAGAGAAGCCACTGCAATATGAAGCCCACACACCGCAACGAAGAGTAGCCCCGGCTCGCTGCAACTAGAGAAAGACCACGCAGCAATGAAGGGCCAACGCAGCCAAAGATAAAATAAATAAAAATTAAAAAAAAATAAAAAAGAATTAAAAAAAGAAAAGAAACATGCAACACAATGTTCATGGTGGCACTATTTACAATAGCCAAGACACAGAAGCAACCTAAATGTCCATCGACAGATGAATGGATAAAGAAGATGTAGTGTATATATACAATGGAATATTACTCAGCCATAAAAAAGAATGAAATAATGCCATTTGCAGCAACATGGATGGACCTAGAGATTATCATACTAAGTGAAGTGAGTCAGAGAAAGACAAATATTATATGATATCATTTATAGGCAGAATCTAAAAACTAGTACAAATGAACTTATTTACAAAACAGAAACAGACTCACAGACATAGAAAACAAACCCATGGTTACCTAAGGGGAAGGTGAGGGGATAAATTAGTTGTATGGTATTAACAGATACACATTACCATATATAAAATATATAAACAGGATTTACTGTATAGCCAGGAAACAATATTCAGTATCTTGTAATAACCTATAAAGAGAATCGAAAAAAAAGATATATACATATACATATGTATAACTGAATCACTTTGCTGTACACCTGAAAGTAACACAATACTGTAAATCAACTATACTTCTATTAAAAAAAAAAGAATCTAGCACTTTTAGAACACATCTATTCCAATTACCATATGTTTTCATACTATAACATTCATTTTGGATTTTTATTTATTTATTTATTTATGGATGGCTGCGTTTGGTCTTCATTGCTGCGTGCGGGCTTTCTTAGTTGCACTGAGTGGGGGCTACTCTTCATTGTGGTGCGTGGGCTTCTCACTGTGGTGGCTTCTCTTGTTGCGGAGCATGGGCTCTAAGCACATGGGCTTCAGTAGTTGCAGCACGCAGGCTCAGTCGCTGTGGCGCGTGGGTTCTAGAGCACAGGTTCAGTAGTTGTGGTGCACGGGCTTAGTTACTCTGCGGCATGTGGGGTCTTCCTGGACCAGGGATCGAACACGTGTCCCCTGCATTGGCAGGTGGATTCTTAACCACTGCGCCACCAGGGAAGTCCCTCATTTTGGATTTTGTTTAAAAGTCAGATATAGTATAAAATTTGACTAACTTTATAGCTTTAATTTATATCAGTTGTTCTCAATCTTTTATTCTTCTACAATATACTTGAGAGAGATGGCACGCTCCCATTATACACAGTGGCTCAGTAGAGCAATGATTCTACACTAAGTGGGGAGAATGTGGTGGGCTGAGGTGGGGCGGGTTGTCCTGAGTTGAGAATTACTAGTTCACATAATGGAAAAATATTATATAAAGAAAGCTGTGATTTAGAGGCAAGAAACAAAGTCAAATCTACAGAAAAACACCAAGTGTTAAGTCACAGATTCATTTCTTTAATGTAGATCCAAAACATTCAAGGTACTTAAAATGTCTTACTAGTGTGTTTTCTCCATTGGAACTATTCCAGAGCCTCATTCGATTATCTGTACCAACAGTGAGGAGGTGAAGCCCATCACTTGTAAAACATAAGCCATTAACTTTCCCATTATGAGCAGTGTTTGCTGCAATGAAAAACACAATTCAGTTTATCTGTTCTTATAAATTCAACAGACACTTAATGCTTGATGATATAGTTATATAAACATATTAAAGGAAAACTATCTGAATTATCTAAATATAAGTTGATTATATTTAAAACTAATCATCCCTTTGGATTACTTGAACATAAGCTATATAAATTAGAACCATAAAAGCAGAGGAAAATAGGAAAAGCAAAGGGAGAAAATCCTGCCAAATATAATTTTTCTTCAGAGAGTAAGCTGTGCTATCAAACTCAATTAACTGCATAAACTTACCACTAAAATTTTAAATTGAAAATTAAACTTCTTATATATTATTTCCATTTGCAATCTAAAAATCATTCCATGGACTATTAAAAATCAATAATACTAAAAAAAAGAAAAAAATCAATAATACTAGTATTTGCCACTTGAAGAAGTGTTATAGTCTCAGTCAAAATTTATATTACTTTTAAAATGAACAGGTTTGAGAAAGCGTAGTTCTCAATAACCTGATTAATTTAATTTAAAAGATTATTAAAACAATCATAGGTTTTATATAGTTCAACCTAATGTATTTCTGGTCCAAATTTAATTCTGAATCAGAATTTTAACCTACACAGAAATTAAATTCTATTATAAAAATGCAATCGAGGTACTTTGTCACCTGGATTGCAGTGGACTCAAATTAAACACAACTTGCAAATTTTGTGACAAAATGGACACAAAATATTACCATTTCTTTAATTTACTGTAACTTCCTAAATGGCACTGAATTTGTATTAGTTGGCCTCATGTGAGGAAAAAAATAAAATAACAAGTTAATCCAGAAAAGTTTCTACGTTCAAAAATTCAGGGGCAGAAGAAATGCCATACTTACTTGTATCTTTTAGTTTCTTTCTTTTTTTTTTTTTTTTTAAAGGCCACGCCACACAGCATGCAGGATCTAGTTCCCTGACCAGGGATCAAACCTGGACCCCCTGCATTGTGAGCACAGACTCTTAACCACTGGACCACCAGGGAAGTCCCCTTACTTGTATCTTAAAGAAAGACAACCATAACTTATATATACTACCAAATGTAAAATAGATAGCTAGTGGGAAGCAGCCGCATAGCACAGGGAGATCAGCTCGGTGTTTTGTGACCACCTAGAGGGGTGGAGTAGGGAGGGTGAGAGGGAGACGCAAGAGGGAGGAGATATGGGGATGTACGTATAGCTGATTCACTTTGTTATAAAGAAAAAACTAACACACCATTGTAAAGCAATTATACTCCAATAAAGATGTTAAAAATTAAAAAAAAAATTTTAAAAAGAAAAAAAAAAGCTCACTGGAATCCTTAGTAAAAAAAAAAAGAAAAAAAAAGACAACCATAATTTAGTTGATGTAAATTTAGAAACTGATTTGTTGTGAATGCCTTTTTAAAAAAACATAAAATCTACAATTTGTCAACATACATTTATTATTTGGTTTCAATTCAAAAATTTCAATATAAAAATACTATCAATGCCATATTTCTATATTAATGTGTTTTTCATTACCTGATTCAACCGCTTGTGACTTTTCCCCATTATGCTGATCAAGAGTAATCAAACATCCTGACGCTCTCCTCACATCCCATAATTTTGCTTTACTGTCAGCACTGAGAAGACATAAATGTTACATTAACGTGTATAGCTAGGATAATAACTGTACTCCTCACCCACCTTTCCAGTATTATGGCATACAGAGGTGTCAGTATATTAGCACAAATGTATTTGTACATTTGGATGGTTGTACTTTTGCCTTTCCAGCAAATATTCAATAGTCAATAGTAGCACAAAGAAGTGAAAAAATAGAAAAAAAAAAAAAAGTAAATCACAAGGATGGAATTCTGTTGTTTCTTCTGCTGTTTTTAATGACATGAGCATCCTCCTCTCCAAAGACTAGACAGGCTTAGAGCTTTGTTCCTTGGCAAATTTGTTACTATATCTGTTCTACTGTTTGTTATTCAAATGTTGCCTAGATGATCAAGCAGTGAACTAATTTCACTTTGCTGAAGAATCCATTTGGTAGGAATATGGTTTTTCTTTTTTTATGAAAAAAATTAAGAATAAGGTGAATCATAAGGACAAAATATTTTTATTTGGTTTCCTGTACTCAAATCAATCTGTCAGATATACAAGAAATAAATTTAATGTCTCCTAGAAATTCGACATTTATTTTCATTTTATTTCAAGTGAAACGAAAAAAGGTAAAACCATGATCATATATCAATTTCAGCTTCTAAACTACTACTAAAGAAAATATAAATCAGTTCAACTGATGCTATCATATCCTCACAAAGCCCTCAATAATATTCTAACCTGTTGGGTTTATCCAGGTCATTTTAATTAGAAAGAGTATTATGCTGCATTTTATAAGCTTATTTCTCATTTATAAACCTTTTAAAAAAATGTCTATACAGGGTTTATCTCTTCCCATAACTTTGGTTATTTTCACAGATCACCATCAAACGTAGCCAATTAGAATAGTCGGCAAAAAGTTAGCATTTCCCATTCTCAATTTGGTTTTCTTTCTTTCCAGCTGGGGAATAGGTCTGCAATGGGAGGAGTCTGAGGACTTAAGTCTCTTCTGAAACAGATTAGATATGCACATAACTAACTCCTAACATTGATTACTAGGTCCATTCTGGTACTGATTCAAATTCCTGGGGTACTCTGAGAATTGAAAGCCTCAGTTTCCCTCCTGATTTGAGGAAAACCAAATTAGAAACAAACAATGTAAATCCAGTCTAGCATGGACCCACAAGTAGTGCCTAGCTCCTCACCTTCACACCTCTTTGGCCAGCCTTCTTATGGCTACATTCTAGACTTTGTTCTACTTCAGAAATCATAAATTTCAATGTCACATTCTGCAAACTACTAACAGAAGCTTCTTTGAGGAATAAACTGTGACAGAGAGGGAGGGCTGGCTGCTTTACAAATATTGAAACATTTCTTTATAAGACTAATAAAGGTAGTTTTTGTAATAATTCTTCTGGAAAAAGTTTTATTAAAATGTCTATATCAAAATTTGATTGCTACTTCCTGTCCCTTCAGTTTTTAAATTTTCTTATCAACACGCATGCTTCTATCTCATTAGGTCCTTGATCCTTCCTATAAGCCTTTTGGTGATTTTATTTCCTTCCTTATACCTGTGACTTGAACGATTTTTAGACAATTGTTAAGTCTGTGTCATTCAATGTTTTGATTTCTGTGGCTTAGTACAGCTGTGGGCTACACCTTCGATAGAGCACAAAATACTGACCAGCAATCCTATGTGCCCTTAATCAGCTCCCTCTTCCATTCATTAAAACTGTTATTCCAAATCTTTAACTACCTTCCCTGAAAATTGCATCCCATTCCAGTATTTTCAATAGATGACATCAAGTTCTACTCACTAAAAAACAACAGAGGCCACTGGGTTCACATTTCTTGAGCTTCTCTGCCAAAGTTACAAATTTAATTGTATTCATGCCTTTTTCCTCCTTCCATGTAGTCTCATGATGCCCTTCATGTGTCAAATCAGTGTCCCCTTCTATTGGGACCCTTGATATTACCCTCTCTTGTCTAGTCAAGGTTCTGATATACCAATTATTCCCTCCATTTCTTCCTTTAAAAAAATAATTAATTTGTTTATTTATTTATTTATGACTGCGTAGGGTCCTTTCTGCTGCACGTGGGCCTTCTCTAGATGCGGCGAGCAGGGTCTACTCTTCGTTATGGTGCATGGGCTTCTCATTGTGGTGGCTTCTCTTGCTGTGGAGCACAGGCTCTAGGCACACGGGCTTCAGTAGTTGCAGCACGCAGACTCAGCAGTTGCGGCACGTGGGCCCTAGCGTGCGTGGGTTTCAGCAGTTGTGGCGTGCGGGCTTCAGGAATTGTGGCTCATGGGCTCTAGAGTGCAGGCTCAGTAGCTGTGGAGCATGGGCTTAGTTGCTCTGCAGCATGTGGGATCTTCCCAGACCAGGGCTCAAACCTGTGTCCCCTGCATTGGCAGGCAGATTCTTAACCATTGCGCCACTGGGGAAGTCACCCCTTCATTTCTTATCTTCACTAATTTCTCTGCAGCGATACTTTTCTGTCAGCATTTAAATATGTAAGACTCTTCCTTTCAGCAAACAAAACCCCCAACCCCCTTGATCCTCAAGAGTTAAGTGCTTTTAACACAACACTGTAAAACAACTATACCCCAATTAAAAAAAAAAAAAAAAGAAAAGAAAAAGAGTTAAGTGCTCTTGTTCTTTTTTCCCATATTATACCTACCAGAGACATATCTCTATTAAAGCATTTTTCAGGATGTTCTGAAATCACTGATTTTTCTGACTATACCCCCTCATTACACTATTACCTTCTTGAAAGGACTACGCCTGTGTTACCTCTGTGTCCCTAGCACAATGCATGGCACATGATAGGAGTCATTAAATGTTAGTAAACTGAATCAATGAGTGGATGAATGTGCTGAATCAGATTCAAAATAATTTTGGGTTAAAGAAAATGAATTAAAATGCTACTATTCTTAAATTGACAGTGTTACACTTTTGTAAGCAAAAATGACACAACACAGTTGTTTCATGGGTAGTACTAGTAGATTTGCATTGCTACATAGATTCTGTTGTTTGCTCTGTTTTACAAAGTGAGCACCTTCAAGATAGATAGTCAGGATTAAGATTATGATGCAAAGGAAGATTTCTTTTGGTGATATGAATTAAAATCTGTAACTCAATTATCTTATTTTCCAGGACCTACTTAGCAACTAAATATGCGTCTAACATAAAAACAGTCTTTCCAAAATGCTTATCATCAATTATTAACTTCAAAACCAAATAATTTGCATTTTACCTTGCAGTTGCCAAGATATACTCATAACGCGGTGACCAGGAAACCGCCAATATTTCTTGTCTGTGACCTGCAAAACAACTGTATAAAATGACTTGCAAAATATTTGAAAAAAATCAAAAGATACAGTACAATTAATTTTGTCAGATTATGAAGAAAGCATAGACTAAATCTTAAAAATAAATTGATACAATCATGATTTTTTCACATTTATAATAATCTATATTTAAATATTAATGTGAAGTCTATGGGGCATTTCTCACAATGCTATTTTATTATAAAAGGTCTGGGTTTGCTTTGCAAAAAACATTCAGAGCAAGTGAGTCTGTCTTTTTAAATACAGGTGTTAGCCTAGCAAGTCTATCCATTAATAAGTGATATAGCTCAAGCTTACTTACTTATCTCTACAACAAAATCCCTGCAACAAACCACCATACAAGATAAACATTCTAAAGAATAAAAATGTTCTCTAAGTTTTCAGAAAGTTATAACAGAAAAAAATTATTTTAAATCATGATTGTAAAAGGCATTTATATAAAAATTTTTATCTAGAAAGCACAAGTGATAAGTTCATAGGATAAGTGATTTCAGCATTTTAATTCACTTCTACCTAACTAAACTATTCAAATCATATATTTTCATCTACCTAGCTTATATTCATAGAAATTCATGATAATGTAAAACAAATGTTATCCATCTCACCAAGTTTTCCTGATATATTTATTATGTGTTTCTCAGAGATGAATAAAAATAGTATATCTGAATTACATCCTATTTTTTCACTGTTTAGAATTAGATGATCTAATACTAATAAAAAAGTAGCAAAAATAATTTAAGCTAGTAAAACTTTACCGAAGTATTATTTCAATACCTTTTTCTAAAATATTTTTATTGAGAAAAGAAGCACCTAAATATTAAGAATGTTTACTCAGCCAGAACAATATTAAAAAATGCTCATGGAGACAAATGTACTGATGTAAGTTTCATAAGTAGTTCATTTTTTTCAATGTAGAAATAACACACGGTTTTTGAGTTAGACTTTCTATATTCTTTGAGCTTCCCCTTGGCTACTGTACATAAAAATGTCTCCTCAATAGTTTAGTTTTATAACAATAATGCACAAAAGGATCTTTAATTCCCTGCTGACTTCTAACAACTAGCACAAAATACATCAGTCATGTCACTTATAAAGAATACATTGTTAATAATGTTTCACTTTGTTGAATGGTTTACTCAAAGTAGTTGTTTCAAATACCCTGTAGAATGTGGGAACAGGATCCAGACTTTAAGTCACAAAGTTGTACTTTGGGCCCTCTAGTACCAACTGTAAAAACAAAACAAAAAAAATAGTTTAAGATAATTTTACTATAAATCATCACCAAAAGGAAACAAGAAACTACCCTATGAGTCATGACATACTCACTGTATCCATGCAGAAATATAAAAATGTATGCTAATAATATACTTTAAATAGTTATTAATGTTTATAACTAGAAAAATTCATTTTATTTTAATAGCTTAGCTTTTCCATGGTAATGATATACTTCTAATCACTAGTAACAGATTCACAGAAACTCTGGACACAGACTGAGTGGACCTCAAAGACAAGTTAGTGCCCAAACTCTTTAAAGATGAAGCAGCTGACTGATGTCTGGAGGTGAAGAGATTCATGAAGTGCCACAGAAATAATATCACAGGGACCTGATACCTGATACCAGAAAAACATTTTTTCTTCTTCACACATGAAAATTTTTGTTGCAGGTGCTTTCATAAAAATGGATGTTTAATTTGAATCACACATTCTAGAGAAAAGGAAATCATTTCCTTGTTTTACTGTGTCAAAATGAAAAAGCTGCCAAATTTTGTTCACGTAAAATCTTTGAAACTTTGGTGATTTAAAAGTAACTCTTTCATGTACCACAATGTTCATTGCAGCTCTATTTACAATAGTCAGGACATGGAAGCAATCTAAGTGTCCATCGACAGATGAATGGATAAAGAAGATGTGGCACATATATACAATGGAATATCACTCAGCCATAAAAAGAAACGAAATTGAGTTATTTGTAGTGAGGTGGATGGACCTAGAGTCTGTCATACAGAGTGAAGTAAGTCAGAAAGAGAGAAACAAATACCGTATGTTAACACATATATATGTAATCTAAAAAAAAGAAAAAAAAAGGTTCTGAAGAACGTAAGGGGAGGACAGGAATAAAGACACAGATGTAGAGAATGGACTTGAGGACGTGGGGATGGGAAGGGTAAGCTGGGACGAAGTGAGAGAGTGGCGTGGACTTATATACACTACCAAATGTAAAATAGATAGCTAGTGGGAAGCAGCCACATAGCACAGGGAGATCAGCTCCGTGCTTTGTGACCACCTAGAGAGGTGGGATAGGGAGGGTGGGAGGGAGACGCAAGAGGGAGGGGATATTGGGATATATGTATAGCTGATTCACTTTGTTATAAAGCAGAAACTAACACACCATTGTAAAGCAATTATACTCCAATAAAGATGTTAAAAATAAAAAAAAAAGTAACTCTTAAGGGAACAGAAATGTGCTTTCTTAATCTTTGAATCCTAGCCACTTTGAAACCTAGCACAGTGCCCAACTTGTACAATATCCATTAAACTGAATACAAAGAGTAATACACACTTTTTTTTTTTAAAGAATTGTGATCTTCATCAGGGTTAAAATGTTTATATCAAAACTAACTAGATATTAAAAGGGAGAAAGTTTTCAATATGTTAAAAAACAACATATGTACAAACCTGCTACCAAACAGTGCTTGGTGGCAACTGGAGACATATGATGACTATAAACTGTTTCTTCAAAATTAAATACATCTGCAATCTGATAATCAAAAGACATTTAAAATAAGTGTAAGTTCTAATTACAATCACAAAAGCAACAAATTTTCTATTTACTTATTTTCACAGTTAGCAATAGCAATTTATTTATTTTTCTTTAATAAATCACAGAGATCAAAACAAGACAACCACTTGGTTCACCATCTTCCCTTCTGCTCCATTCTGAGGGACTTCAGCATCTACACAGGTGATCTAGCCAGTACTCTGCCTCTCAGTGCCATACAACCTCAGCTACCACACCCAGAACATTCTCATCACCTAGAACTGCTTCTCCTTTGAAATCACCTATTTCAGTTATATATGACCAAATTTTATATCATTCCAGGTCCCCCCCGCCCAGCTACCTACAAGACACCCCAATAAAGCCCAGAAGTCCTATCAGTTCCTTTCTTCACTTCTTTTCCTTCTTCAGCTTGGATTCCAAGTTTCAATGCTTCAACTGCCAATATCTTTGATGTTATCATTGCATTTGTCAAGACCTCAACCTGACTCCAAATGTCTGCCTTCCGTGTACCTATATCCAGGTTTAACTACACCAGAGGTCAGCAAACTTCTTCTGTAAAGGGTCAGATTGCAGGCTTTGAGAACCAACTACTCATTTCTGTCACTGTAGTGTCAAAGTGGCCATAGACAATAAATGAGCATGTCTGTGTTATAGTAACACTTTTTTTTTTTTTTACAAAAAGAGTCCATGAGAAGCCTTGGCCCAGAGCCTAGACTTGGCCTATGGGCCGCAGTTAGTTGACCTCTGCCCTATCCAGGTGAAGAAAATCTTGTAATAGAGAAGACTAGTATCACCATAAAAGATCATTCATCTCAACTGGGCTTTAGTACTGACTGCCGGTCCTACAATTTCAATAGCATTGTCTACAATATTTGCAGCTACTTCAAACCTTCGCCACTCTCCACAAAAATTGCCACTTCATCACTACAGGTGATCTGATCTTTCATTCCAAAGAGAAAATAGGAGCCATTCAATGAGAATTTCCTTATTGTCTTAACAACAAACTTATAAACACATTTGCTTCCGCTTATCTTTTTTCCTTCTTCATTCCTGTTATCATGAAAAAAATGATCCTTCCTCTTATTTAATTTCCCCACCTATGTTCAGATCACTTTCAGTGCTGTCAGAAATCTCACCCTATACATTATTGCCTCTATCTCCCGAGTATGTATAACTGCTCTCTCCCTACTGGCTCGTTCCCATCAGCACTAAAACATGTTCAAGTCTCTTTCATTGTAACAGCACTCCCCTCCCCAAGACAAAAAAACAAAATCCTTTTCACCCAAATTCCTCCTAATTAATCTTCTTCCTCCCCCTTTAAATCCAAATTTTGGCTGTCTCTAATTTCTTATCTCATATATTTCTGAACTCACTGCAAACTTATTTTTTATCTCCACTACTCCCGCTCTCACCACCCTGCCAATACCACTGATAACCTTCTATCACCAAATGTAGTCTTTATCTTACCTAATCCGTCAGTAGCATTCAACACAGCTGACTATTCTACCTTCGTTAAGACAGTCTCTTCCACTGGCTTCCATTATATCACATACTCCTGATTTCCCTCTTATTCTCTCTGGCTAGGCCTTTTCATTGTCTTCTGTAGGCTTTGTTGTTCCTTCTCCTGTCCTTATAATCCTCCTCAAGGTTTAGATCCCTCTCTTCAACTGCCACCTATATCCTAGTGACTCACAAATCTATATTTTCAGTTTAGACCACGCTCCCAAATTCCACCTAGGTATAGCTCAATTCCTGGATTATCTCCACTTGACTCTACACCTTAAAGTTAAATAGAGAAGACTCTAGAGAAGACATTCCTCTAAGCCACATCATATGCTCAAGCTATTAAAACACGCTCATGGAAAACTGAGATGAAGGTATGAAAAGTACCTAATACATACATTAATAGGAAAAACTAATGATGGGAGTGGAGAATGGAGAAAAGGACAGTATCTTGCCTTCCTTATTTTTCTTTATACATAGCAGAGGCACAATTGTTTCTTACTGAATGCTTTCAAATTTATTATTAATAAAATACTGTCAGGCTTCCCTGGTGGCACAGTGGTTGAGAGTCTGCCTGCCGATGCAGGGGACACGAGTTCGTGCCCCAGTCCGGGAGGATCCCACATACCGTGGAGCGGCTGGGCCCGTGAGCCATGGCCGCTGAGCCTGAGCGTCCGGAGCCTGTGCTCCGCAACGGGAGAGGCCACGACAGTGAGAGGCCCGCGTACCGCAAAAATAAATAAATAAATAAGTAAATAAAATAAATAAAATACTGTCATACCTTTATTTCAAACAGAATTATGAACTCATGGAATACTGTTTTAAGTTAGCAAAACATTTATGTTTTAAAGAAAATTTAAATCCAAGATGTCAGAGTTTTAATAGAAGTCAATGTTAAGGAAAGAAAATGTAAATGTATGGCTTATTAATTTTTAATTAATTAAATTAAAAAATTTTAATTAAAAGCCATACTTTTAAATGAAGTGTAACATACAGAAAAGTACACAAAAATCATAAGTGTACAGCTCAATTAATTTTCACAAAGTGAATTTTCACAAAGTAATGGCCACCTTTATTGAAAAATAGAACATTACAAACATTACAAATACCCCAGAAGGCTCCTTAGAACCCCCCCTTACAAATCTCACCAAGAAAGATAACCATCATACAGGCCTCTATCATCATTAGATTAGTTTTGTCTATTTTTGAACCTCCTATATGGGGAATTATATATTAAGCACTCTAGTTTTTGGTTATTTTATCTAATATTATATAAGATTCATACATTTTGTTAATACAGAAGTGTTCCCTTGTCATTGTAGGAGAGTACTCCGATGTAAAATTTGCCAGATTTCATTTGGCTGCTAATGGACATTTGAGTTGTTTCCAGTTTTTGGTTATCATCAACAGTGCTGCTATGAACATTCTTACAAATATCCTTTAGTACACATATGCATGCATTTATATACCCAAAAGTGTAACTGCTGGGTCAGAGGATAGGCACATATTTGGCTTCAGTCAATACCAAATATCTGTACCAATTTGTGATCTCATCAGCAACATATGTAATGTGTGATGATGTTGTCATCAACCTCTTTTAAGTTTGGCCATTCTGGAGGGTACAGAGAGGTATCTCATTATGTATTTAAATAACACATCCAGGTGCACAATTAATAAAGTTGAACACTTTTATTTATTGGCTATTTGGATATCCTCTTTCTTGAAGTGCCTATTCAAGTGTTTTGCCTATTTTTCTATAGGACTGTTTTAATTTTTGTTGACTATATAATCTGTACATCAGTCCTTTTTCAAACATATGCATATGTCAGATATATCATCCCATTCCATGGCTTACCTTTACACTTTTGTAATAGTGTTTTTTGATGACTAGAGATTCCTAATTCTAATGTAGCTCAATTTATCTATCTCTGCCTTTTTGGTTTGTAGTTTTTGTGTCTTTAACTGCCATAAGCCATAAACACATTTTCTTTTTTCATCTTTAAGCTGTATCATTTTATCTTTCACATTTATACTTGTAATCCACCTGAAATTGACTTTTGTGTCTGGTGTGAGGTAAGGGTCAAAACTAGTTTTTAAATATGGATACCTAGTTCATCCAGGACCATTTATGGAAAAGGTTATCTTTTCCCCAATTCACTGCAGTGTTATTTTTATCATAAACCACATCATTATACAGCTATGGGTGTGTTTCATGATTCTCTATCCTGTTCCCCTGTGTGTGTTTGTTTTCACTTGTACCAATATCACACTGCCTTGATTAGTATAATTAATTTATGGTAAAGTCTTGGTTACAGGTAGTGAAGTCCTCAAGCTTCATTCTTCTTCAAGAGCGCCTTGTCCCTCTGCATTTCCATATGTATTATACATTAGAATTACCTAGCCAATTTCCACAAAAGAATTCTGCAAAGATTTTGATCAGAAATGCATTGATTCTATAGATCATACTGGGTAAAATCATTATCTTTATAATATTAAGCCTTCTAATTCTTTTCTTTCTTCTTCTTTTTAGAATTGAGGTATAGTTGATACAATAACAAAGTGATTCATAGTTTTTAAAGGCTACATTCCATTTATAGTTATTATAAAATATTTGTCATATTTCCTGTGTTGTAATATATATTCTTGTACCTTTCTTATTTTATACATAGTAGTTTGTACCTCTTAATCCCCTATGCCTATCTTGCCCCTCCCTCTTTCCCTCTCCTCACTGTGGTAACCATTAGTTTGTTCTCTATAACTGTGAGTCTGTTTCTTTTTTGTTATATTCATTAGCTTGTTGTACTTTTTAGATTCCACATATAAGTGATATCATACAGTGTTTGTCTTCTCTGTATGACATTTCACTTAGTATAATACCCTCCATGTCCATGCATTTGATGCAAATGGCAACATTTCATTCTCTTTTATGACTGAGTAGTATTCCATTGTATACACCGCATCTCTGTTATCCATTCATCTGTTGATGGGCAGTTGGGTTGCTTCCATATCTTGGCAATTATAAATAATGCTGCTATGAACACTGGGATACAAGTATCATTCTGAATTAGTGCTTTTGTTTTTTTCAGATAAATACCCACGAGTGGAACTGCTGGGTCATATGGTAGTTCTATTTTGTTTTTTGAGAAACCTCCATAATGTTTTCCTCAGTAGTTGCACCAATTTACCTTCCCACCAACAGCACCCAAGGGTTCTCTTTTCTCCACATCCTCACCAACATTTGTTATTTGTGGTCTTTTTGATGATAACCATTCTGACAGGTGTGAGGTGATATCTCATTGTGGTTTTAATTTGCATTTCTCTGATGATTAATGATGTTGAGCATCTTTTCATGTGCCTGTTGGCCAGCTGTATGTCTTCTTTGGAAAAATGTCTATTCAGGTCTTCTAACCATCTTTTAATTAGGCTTGTTTTTTTGATGTTCAGGTGTATGAATTGTCTATATATGCGAATATTAA